CAAATGAAGAGCAGTGTTGCATTCAAAAGTAATCAGAATAGAAGCCAAATTCGCCAAAATAACGAAATCTTTTGAGAAGTAAAATTTTTCGGTGTCGGAATTTTTGCCTGAATAAATAATTCTGTAAACAAACAACTGACATTTACATACTTGCAGGAAAAATGGTTTTTCGCGGTCCAGCAATTTTTCTCAATTCTTCACTCGGTGCTCTCTATTGTGACAGATATTTTACTTTTGACCGTTCTAGAGATTTTAGTCCAAAAATCGCTGAGCGCACCTTATGTTTGTATTCAGACTATTATGCTAAGCGCCGCTTTCTCACGCAATACACATTTCGATCGTATGGTTGGCTTCTGAATAAAAATGTTAGAGAAAAGGATGTTGAGAGAATTCATAGATTTACGATAGAGAAATTGCATCTACTATTTCCACGAATATAAAAGTGCACAGCAATGTAAGTAAATTAAAAAAAATTCACGATAATTGCATTGCACTTACGTATGGACATATTTCTATGAAATTATTTATGAAGATTCTAGATTTTAAGATTCTATTGCAACCCACATAAGGGTTAAAGCACCTTTATAAAAATTTTCTCGGAACTGCTTTTAATGAATGCATCAAGCATCTAGATAATTTTGTTCACATTCAATGGTATAAACATATTCGTATACATGTACATAAGTGCAAACGTATTTGTTGGTTGATACAAAAATAAGTCTCTTCCATATCGTCAATTGTTCATCGCAAGATAACTTCGATTTGATTATATAAATTAATATTAAAAATCGGAACTTATTAGGGTATATAAAGCGCCCCAAAACTCAACTAGAAATCAATTTAAAGTTACAGATTTAACCAATCACACAAATAAGTTTGCTTTAGAAAAAATGACTAAACAATTCGCTTGCACTTTATTGCTGTTGATCGCAGCTACAGGCGCATATGCTGCTGGAATTGAAGGTGGTGTACCCACCACAATTGAGGAACATCCTTATGTCGCCAGAGTGCAGCGAGCAGATGGCACGAGCATCTGCAGTGGTGCTTTGATCAATGAGGATACCGTTGTGACCGCTGCCACATGTTTGGAGTTCTACGATATCAGCCAATTCGTTGTGAGTCTTAATAACGGTGCTAAAATTGTAAAAATTGCAAAGTCTAGCTACGATTCGGCGTTCGATTTCGTTACCATGGAAAATGATATTGGCATTCTGAAGTTGGCTGAACCTGTTAAGGGTACTTACATTCCACTGGCTGACAAAGACCCAGCTACCGGTGCCACTGGCGTTGTGACCGGCTGGAATGCAAACAACGAACTGGTCGATATTCCTGAAACTTTCATCGATACTAAGGATTGTGT